CTATATAGGGATGGCCGGTTCGCTCACTGGCTGAGCGTGGTGCTGACAACACCAAGCCAAGGGTTGAGATCCGCTTACCGGTCATCTTTTAAAAAAATAAATAAATAAAATGGCCTGCAAAGGTCACTAAACTAGACGTTTTTAGGTTTTATGAAACCTCTGGGTTTTCTTGCCCTCACTTTCCCCCATGGCTTTAAAATTCCCAGCCATGTGTTATTTTTTCTCTTCCTTCTGATTAATGTTTTCATTCACTAGACAAATATTTCTCCAGTAGCCGCTGAGTGCCCAGCCTTGTTCCAGGCGCTGAGAACACAGTAGCGGGCCAGGGAGAAAAATATCCTTGTTTCCCTGGAGCTGACATCAGAAATATGCTCTATGGGGAAAGGAAGCAAGAAAAGAGAGAGGAAGTGGGGCCTCCTCCTCTGTGGGGGCCAGTGAGGGCCACTCTGAGGAGGTGACCGTTGGCTGTGAGCTCAGTCATGAGGACGCGTGGGCCCCGGCAGACACTGGTGATGAGCATTGGGCAGGACAGCCGGTGCCAGGGCCTGGCAGGTGGAAGGGTCTGAGGGGCTGGAGGCCAGGGGTGAGGGATGATGCTTCCACACGAGAGGGCAGCAGGAGCCTCCGTGCGGGGCCTGCGGGTGGCAGCTGCGACGTGCATCCTCTTCTGAATGTGTGTGTGCCTCGGGGACACTGAGGCTGGTGGCCGTGGGAGATCTTCTCTGGGTATTTCAGATCTTTTTTTTTTTTGTTAGTACAGAGTTGAAATTTGGAATCAATGTTGACACTGAGTTAAAGTTCCACACTTCAGGTCCCTGGAAAACAAAGGTTACGCTCTGGCTATTGCAGGTGGGGGTGGGGCACAGGTTTTGGGTGAATGTCCCAAGCATTTTGCTCCCGCAGAAATCACATGTGATGTGGAAAATGTAGGGCATCAGCATTTCTAGAAACATTGAGAACTCAGCGTCCTCAGATGCTGGTGGCCTGGGCCGTGCCCACCGTGCCTGGGGCTCATCTTCTCACTGACCCGGCAGGAACGCACAGCACACACTGGCCACCAGGCCACAGGTGAGCCGTGCCTCTTCCTTTCTCTACCACGAACACAGGGAGAAAGTCGTATTCATTGGAAATCCCATGGGGCCTAACCCACAAGTGTCACGTTCAAGCAGCCCGGCATGCCCGGCACACGCAGCCTCCCTCTGAGCTGTCGGCCTTCTCAGACGGAGCAATACACTCTAATTGTGCCCAGGTCACCTCCTGCCCCCTCCTCAGCACAAGCATTGGTCTCTAGGCAGCGCCTCCTGTGTCCCCTGCCCTGCTCTGATGCCCAGCCCTTTTGGGTCATCCCAGCCTCCCCTCTCAGCCAAGCTCACTGTCCTTGTGGGGAGCCCTGACTGAGCCCCACTCAGGAAGTCTGGCTCTGGAGGCCCAAGGAGGAGGCTGCTCCCCCAAGGACCCCTTCTTTCATCTTGTCTTCAGTCACCGCATTCCCGACCTCACCGTCTCCCTTGGCTGCTGGGACTCCATGGATTCCCACAGGAGACCACATAGAGTGGTGCACAGAAGAAGCCATGGACTGGCCACCTGGCTCTACCTGGGGAAGTGGACACTGGAGATAGACGGGCCCAAGGGGGGACAGGATAAGGCCCAAGTGCTCCTCAGCAGGGCCTGAGGGGGCTGCACCTGCCCAGACAGCACCCTCGGGCCCAAGGCTGCCCTGGCTTGTCGGTGCAGATGGTCAAATCCTGGGCATGTTCCTCCCGTCTTGTTCGGGGTGAGGGCACAGGGTCTCCATGATTCTGCCCCCTCCAGGAATGGAGCTGCGGGCTCACTGGTATCTGTGGTTGGAGGCTGGGCATGGAGCTCAGGCTGACATGGCATGAGCCCTCCTCTGTCCCTTGTGACCGGTTATCCTTTGTGACTGGTCACCCCTTGTGACCGGTCACATTGCCTCGCTGAGCCTTGGTTTACCTGTAAACTGGAGCTTATAATAATATCCACCTGTAGGGTTACTTCGGGGAATCAACGCAACGATTCAAGTTCCTTTGCTCAGGAAGCTCAACCCACGACACACCTAAGGTCATTGGCAAGACCGCCATACTGTCAAAACTGCGGAGGTCACTGTCCTTCTCCAGCAACCCCACTTCTGGGTTCATCCCGCTCACGTACTTGCCCACATGCAAAGCGATGCAGACACGAGGCCATCCGTGTGTGTCCTTTGCACCCGACCAGTGTCAACACCCCGCCCATAGTAGGACTCCCAAGATACAGTGTTAAGTGGAAGCAGGAGGAGACAGCAGTGTGTGGCCTGTAGTCTTACGTGAAGAAGAAAAAGATGCGTGTATGTGCGTGCATTCGCGTGTTTACTGGTATGTGTGCAAAATGTTTCCGGAAACATCCATGGGAGGACAGGAACACCGTTTGCTCTTGGAATTGACACCAGGTGGCATGGCGGGGGGCCAGAAGGGACCATTCTCACCCCACCCTCATACTGTCTGCATCTTTTGAATTTTGAACCATGTGCATGAATGATCTAGTAAAAATAAATAAAATGCAACCTTTTAAGAAAATGCTAGCTAGGGCCGGCCCACATACAGACTGGCGCTCACTGGCTGAGCGAGGAGCGGGGGCGGCGCCGAGGGTTGCGATCCCGTTGCCGGTCCCGGTCCGGTACGGGCGCGACACTGAGGGTTGCGATCCGTTGCTGGTCACGAAAAAAGACAAAAAG